GTAGTGGTTATGAATCGGGCTGCGAACCTTAAGGTCAGCGGTTCGAAACTACCAGCCGCTCCGCGGGAGAAAGATGAGGCTTTCTACTCCCGTAAACATTTACACCCTCGGAAACCCTGTACAGGGTCGCTATGGGTCGGAACCGACTCAACGGCACTTAACAACAACAACCCACTTTTGTGCTTGTCCTCCTTTACTGAGACCCACTTTAGCCCCATCAAACAGTGCATTCTAAGAGAACTTGCAGCATCACCTGTGTGGAATTACTTGCTGAGTTGGTATACAATGCTATTCCTGTGCCCCACCACAGACTTACTGGACCAGAGCCTCTGGAGGTGGGACTGGAGAATCCACACTGTTTGGGAGATTCCCGGTGGTTCTCCTGCTGTTAAGTCTGAGACTGGCAGCCAACACGCACTGCCAGTCACATGCCCTCCCCCTAAACCACCCACCCACTGCCATCCAGTTGATTCCAACTTTTAGCAACCCCAGATCAGGTGTCGGAGATGGTAAATCTTTACAGAGAGCACACAGCCTCATCTTCCTCCTGCGGAGCAGCTAGTGGATTTGAACCAACAACATTTTGGTTAGTAATCCAGTGTCACCAGGAAAAAATGCCTGGTCTTCCTGCTACTAGAAAATATTTATTGAGTGAATGAAGAGACCAGGAAGAGATGAAAGTAAAGGGTATAGAAATAAGACAAAAACATACACGTGTGGTCTGAGAGGTGTTACACATACCCAAGGATCCCCGAGGACCTAGGTTTGCAGATGCTGGAATAAATACAGTTTCACAAACACTATGGGATATCTCAGAGCATTTACCTGGTCAGGGCCATTGTCAAACTCCAAAAGCGGCCACCAGAAGGAGTCTTTTCTTTGTAAACTCAGTTGAACAATGCTTTATTTGTGTGTTCTTTTTGCCAAGGTGAATTTTCACTCACCTGAGCCACCACCCACATACTCATCACACATTGCACACATGCACACATGCTACATGAGCGTTCTACTCAGCATGTTTTCTAAAATGCTGCCATAGTGTCCAAGTTCATGAGACTCTCAGCAAGCAAACAGAATTCCCCGGGGCCTGAAGGCAATAGGGAAGAAGCTAACTGTAAACTAGAGAGAAAAGAGAAAAGTTCATCTAGTGAAACCCCCCCCCCCAAAAAAAAAAAAAACCTAAACAAACCCAATCCTGTGGAGTTGATTCCAACCCATAACAGTCTTATAGGAGAGAGTAGAACTATCCCATAGGGTTACAGAAGCAAACAACCACATCTTTCTCCCATGGAGAAGCTGGTGGATTTGAACCACTGACCAAAGATTAGCAGCTGAGCTCTTAACCATTGTACCACCAGGGCTTCTTTCTAATGGACAACCTCTTAGCATAGGGTCAGTCAGGGCAGGCCACCTCTGTCCTTGGAGGTTTGCATGTAACTTGGAGAGGACACAGCACTAGCAGCAAGAGGTCAGAGGGAAGATGGTGCAGATCACAGCCAGGTGGTGAATGAAGCTTTGGCTACTGGGGACCACTCCGATGGATGACCCCTAACCCACTGTTCCCAGGAGAAGGTCAACTTGGTCAACTTGCTAGTTTCAAGAGAATCCAGAAGGTCAGATTTGTACTCGATTTACAAATGCTGCCAACACAATGAAAAAATCCTCTGAAAAATCCCTGCGGGCCAAACTAAACGGGCAAAGAATGCTCAGAGTTCACTGCTGGGCTATTTCGGCTGCATGGACTCCTGGCAGTGAAACCAGTTGGGTTAGCCTGGCTGGCAGTGTGGTCTGGAGGAAGGATCCTCAAATTTCCAGGCAGCTAGACTTGGGTTTAAAGCCCAGCTCTGCTACTTGTGAGCTACGTGACCATGGACACATTACTTTAAGGAGCATGACAAAACCAAACCCGTGTGCGGCTCTTGCTTTTTGCTTTAGCTTTCCCGTGGGAAAGGTTCAAAGTCAACTTGGAATGAGGGGAAGGGTCTAGTTTTAGCCCTTGCCCACCCCACGCAGGCTGGCACAAGGGGGTAGTAGCTCATGTGTGGTGTTTGGAGCTACCCCGCCTGCGTGTGAATTCCCACACCACCACTTACCAGAAATTGTTGTTGTGAAGTGTCGTCGAGTCAATTCTGACCCATAGTGACCCTGTATACGGTTTCCAAGGAGAAGCTGGTGAGCTTGAACTGCAAACTTTGCAGTTCAAACAGCTATGCAGTCTAGCACATTAACCCACAGCATCACACCAGGATTCCTATCAGGAATGTTATTGTTGTGAAGTGCCATCGAGTCAGTTCCAACCCATAGTGACCCTCTATAGGGTTTCCAAGGAGCAGCTGGTAACCTTGAACTGCTGACCTTGCAATTCAAACGGCTTTGCTGTCTGACACATTAACCCACAGCGCCACACCAGGACTCCAGAAATAGGCAGCCTTTAAAGTCTGTTGCATCATCAGCTAACAATGGGACCAGTAAGGCTCACCTCTGGTGGTTGAATGTCAAGTGCCTGGTAACTTGACCCCAGCTCAGGGCGCTGCCATGTGTGTCACAGAATGATGCTCTGTAGAGGTTCCAACCGCTGAATTTTTGGAAGCTGATGGCCAGGCCTTTCTTCTGAAGCACCTCTGGGTGGACTTGAACCTCCAACCTTTCAGTTGTCAGCTAAGCCAGTTAACCCTTTGCACACCCAGGGACTCCTGATACATAGTGTCTTTATTATCTAGTGCTGCTATAGGGAGGCCTGATAACATAGTGTGTTACTTGTTGGACTGTTAACTGCACGGTCATCAGTTCAAATCAACCAGCTGCTCCATGGGAGAAAGACAACGCTTTCTGCTCCCATACAGATTTATAGCCTCAGCAACCCTATACAGGTCACTATGAGTTATAACAGATTTGATGGCGCACAACAATCGTAATCCTCCTAAAACAGAAATACCACCAAGCGGTGGTTTTTAACAAACAGAAATTTACTCTTTCAGAGTTTAGGAGGCTTAAAGTCCATATTCAGAGGGCCGGTTCTAGGGGAGGCTTTCTAAACTGCCTGTCAGCTCTGGGGAAATGTGTTTGTCTCCTTTCAGCATCTGTAGACCCAGAATTCCTTGGAGAACTTCATGTGTCCTGGCATCAATCTTCCCCTGGATCTAGGAGCTCCACAGTACAGGGACCTCCATGCCCTCTGGCCATCACAGAACCCCTGCTCTCTCTCGAGCTTTCGGTGGGTCAGCCGGTCATCACTATGCCTAAGCCTCCAGGAAGACAGGGGACGCAGAGGTTCCTAGCCTTGGTTGTACCCTGCATTCCCCTGAGGAGAACAAAGAGACATTCTGAGACCTGGGTGTCAGCACATGTTCTGGGGTACATCTCAGTCATCAGGAGTGTTAAAGTCCCCACTCCCAAGCTGCCACACTGTGCAAGTAGAGCTGAGGACCACTTGGAGGAACTCCCAGGCACCCAACATTGACTTATTCATCCAAGCTCCCATGCCAGGGATCCCACGCCTCCCTCCAAATACACGCACATCTGGGCACACATACGTAAACCCTTACACACACACACATGTACACAACATTGCAAATACATACACACATAATCACACGTACATACTTACACCACACACATACTCATACTGACACACACATGGGAGTGGGACTCAAAAAGTTCATGGAAAATGGAACTAAAAGATGGTGGAATTTTCCACAAACTTTTGAAACCCCCTCATACACATTCTCTCTCTCTCTGTCACACACAGACATACACATATGCACAAGCTCTCACACACACTCACACATACACACGCACACACACACACACATGCTCACTTGCTCACACGCACACACACATATTCTTCCTGGAGTGAGAGGTCACAGTCAGTGAGGATGAATCACATTCAAAGATGAATCTCCTCCCCTTATTTCCCTTCCGCTCCTTTGCGGGCTGTTAGGAATTGGCCTACACTGGACTGCAGCAGGTCTATGGTGTCTAGTGGGAAGAGGTGGGCTACAGAAACTGAGGAGTTGAGCCCCCAGGATTTCAGTCCCAGCTCTATTGCTCACCAGCTGAACCTGATATCTCTTGAGTGTTCCCATCTGTAAATCAAAGAAAATGCTACTCTTTCCTGGAGGCACTGGGAGAAATGAGGGAAATGACCTATGAGATGGTGCCTGGTACAAATGCACTCTGACTCACAGTGACCCAGGCGTGTCAGAATAACACTGTGTCCCATACTGGTAGCATAGTGGTTACGAGTCTGGCTGCTAACCTCCAGGTCGGCAGTTCGAAACTACCAGCTGTTCCATGGAAGAAAGATGAGACTTTCTGCTCCTGTAAAGATTTACAGCCTCGGAAACCCTGTACAGGGTTGCTGTGAGTCAGAACCGACTCCATGGTACATCACCACCACCACCACCATTGAGTTTCCAGTGGCTGACTCTTCCGACATAGATTGCCAGGCCTTTCTTCTGAGGAACCTCTGGCTGGACTTGAACCTCCAACCTCCAGCACACTAACCATTTTCACCACCCAGGGACTCCAGTGTTTCCTTACAGTGTGAAATGAGGATGCAGTAATGCATGACCCACAGCTGAGCAAACCCAGCCCCAGAGGCAGCACTTTGGAAACTCTCCCAATTGTTGCTGTGTGCCGTCGAGTCAATGCCGACTCACAGACACAGTCAAACTGCCCCATAGGGTTTCCTACCCTGTGGAGACCTGGTGTGGCTCTTCAAGTTAATGCGCTGGACTGCAAAGTTGGCTTGAACAGCAAGGTGGGTGGTTCAAGCTCACCAGCTGCTCCTTGGCCACCCTACACAGGGTCACTATGAGTCAGAACTGACCTAATGGCACTCAACAATGACAGTCTTTACAGGAACAGGTTGCTACATCTTTTTACCCTTGGAGTTGATGGTGGGGTTCAGAATCACTAACCTTTTGGTTTAATCATTGTACTACCTGGGGTCCCATCACTTTCTTTGTTGTTATTAAGTGCCATTGAGTCATTTCTGACCCATTGTGATTCTGTATAGGGTTTCTATGTGAGGAGCTCCTGGTATAAAAAAGCGCCAACCTTGTACTTCATAGTCCAATGCTGATCCTTCAACACCACACCAGAACTCCTTTACTCCCCTACATCCAGGGCAACGTGGGAGACAGGATGGAATTCTTCCAGGAAAATGATTGAATCCAAACCTCCCGTCCTCTAGATGGAGCTCTTGCTGCCCAGGGCCTCTGCTTGAATTTGCAAGTGCTGTCCTCAGACATCAAGGATGGGAGCTCTGGCCTGGCCCAGCAGCCCTCCAGATCTCCCTGAAACTCTAGGTCTAAGCAACCAATTCCGCATGTCACTCCGACACCAAGCAGGCATCTCAAATTTACCATGTTTCATGAAGCTCCCAGCCTGCTCTTTCAGGACAGGGAGCATCCTTTCTTCAGGGTCTCCCTGACTCCTCTCCTTCTCTCTACTGCACATCCGAGGTGTCAGAGTCCTGGAGATTCTTCCTCCCAGATATGCCTACAACCTGGTGATATTGGTCCTTCCTGGTCTCAGCCACTACCAGCTCTCACCTGGCTTCCTCTGGCACCCTTCTGCTGCTGCTGTGGACTCTGATCAGTCAGAGTTCAATCAGCAGGGCTGTGTTCTTGTGAACCACAATCACATTCTTCATTCAACAGTTACTCTCAGAGCACACACTGTGTGCTAGGCCCAGATCTGGACTCTTAACAACTTTCCATCTTTCTGTGCCTACAGGGAAGCCTGCTCAGACCTCACCTCCTAGGCCCTTCCCTCCACTCTCCACTCCATCCCACCTCCTGGTTCCTCCAATTGCTCCCCGTGCCCCCTCATCACCTGGTGGCTCACTTCCTCACCCTTCTGGTCTTTGCTGCAGCATCAAATCAACGAGGTCTTTCCTGACCATGTATTTAAATTTGCAACTGCCCCCTCCACCCTCCTGATTTCTCTCCCTGCTTCACGTTTCTCTCTGATACTTGTCACCATCTGTGTGACTTTTATGATTGTCTTAAATCATTTGTTAGTTCTCTGTCTCCACCAGAGTGAAAGCTCTAAGCTCTTTATATAGAGTGGCTTCAGACTCATATACACCTTATAGGACAGGATAAGACTGCCTCATCTTGCTCCCACAGAGCGGCTGGTGGGTTCAGACAACCAACCTTGAGGTTAGCAGTCCAGTGCTTAACCACTGGGCCATTTCTATAAGCTCCAGGAAGGCTTTGATCTTCTGTTCACTCTGGAATCCCCAGGGTCTGTAACACTCTACACACATGTGATTAATGAATGGAACCCACGTATCAAAGTGTTCTGACACGTTTGACAGGATTCCTCCTGAGTGGTGAGTCCTCTGGCAAGGCTCATCAGGGTCAGCCTTTGTGCTGGGTGCTGGGGGGACTTCAGGGAACAAGTAGCCCAGGTCCCCATGCTCAGGGTGCCAGACCAGCAGCTGGCTTGGATGTCATTCGATGGGTGGTAAGAAACCAGTGTTGTCCAGTTGATTCTGCCTCACAGCAGCCCTATAAGACAGATGAGAAGTGCCCCATTCTGAAATCTTCAGGAAGTGATCTCCACATTTTTGCCTTGGCTAATGGATTCAAACTGCCATCCTTCCTGGTTAGCAGCTCTTAATCACTGCACCACTAGGTCTCCTTCAAACAGAGGCAACCAAAGTAATAATGGGACCCTAGACTGGCCTCACAACACCCTGTCAAACCTCCCTGCCTTGCCCTTGTTTAATGTGGGTTCCCAAGTTGGGAGCGGTTCCTAGGGGGTTCTAGTGGTCCAGAGGTTTGGGAGGATGCTGTAGGGATTGCCTTGCACATGACCCAGGCTATTCCCACTGGGCCTGACAATGTTGTGGTGGCCTATGTTTGCAGAGGTGGTTGGAGTGGGCTGCGTGCTGGACGGCGTGCGCTATGACAATGGCCAGTCCTTTCAAGTCAACTGCAAGTACAACTGCACGTGCATTGACGGCGCCCTGGGCTGCACGCCGCTGTGCCTGCGTGCGCGTCCCCCGCGCCTCTGGTGCCGCCGCCCCCGGCTGGTGCGCGTACCCGGCAGTTGCTGCCAGCAGTGGATGTGTGATGACCAGGACACCAGGAAGCCACGCAAGACGGCGCCACGCGACACGGACTCTGCCGGTGGGTCCTGAGGGCTGTTGCCAAGTAACCATTGAATCCAGCTGCAGCCATGCCGGGAACTCTGATTGACGGAGCCCTGGGTTCCATCCCCCACACCACTTAAATACCTATGTGAGATTAGGAGTTAGGAGTCACTCCTCTGGGGCCCCATATTCCTAACTGCTAAATGGGAACAATAGCATCCGTTCTGTTGATATATGGGATCCTCTGAACCTAAACCGAGGACTCGTCTGTAAAGAGCAAAGCCTACAAATGCAATCCGGTGCCAGTCTACTGGAAGAGGTGAGGGGGAGGGGTGGAGGGAAAAATGGATGTGAGGGACCCAGGGAAGACAGAAGCAGCTGGTGCAGGACCCAAGAGCTGAGTATAGACCTCTTGATGTCTGGGGGTTTCCCTTGACTATGGAGGATGCTGAGCAGGTGAGACTGTGAGCTAGGTAAGAGGAAGGGAAGAGAGACAGTCTGTGTGTTTCAGAACTGCTTACCTGGAGCATAGTTCATTCTAAGTTAGATAGATGGATAGGTGGATGGATGGAAGGAAGGAAGGGTGGGTGGGTGAAAGGATGGGGTGGTGGAAGGAGTGTGAATGGATGGATAAACGGAAGGGTGGGTGGGTAGGTGAATGGATAGAAAGACGCATGGGTGAATGGATGGGCAGATAGATGAATAGAGCCCTCCATCCACCTAGCCATCTATTTATCCATCATTCATCCACCCTTCCATTTTCCATACATCCATCCACCCACCCATCCACCCAGCCATCATCCATCCATCATCAACCCATCATCCATCCATCCATCTACCCATCCACCCACCCAACTAATGAGAACCTGCACTAGGGCAGTGGGTGTAGAAGCGGTGACTGAGGAAGGGCCCGGTACACAGGACTGTTCACAGATAAGACTGAAGGTGTCAGCACCTTGAGATGAAGGGCAGGGAGAATGGATGGCTACCCCCTGAGTTCATACTCACATAAGATAGAATACAAGGGAAGGAGCATTTCTGGGATAAGGACCATGGCTTCCTTTGAGGCAGGTGAGTTTGTAGCCAGTTTCCCTGTCTCTGCATCACCCAGAGAAGAGTTCCGTGGAGGCTGCATTGAAGGAGTATAATGGGGCAGGGAGTGAGTTCAGTGAATCCTTAGTCCAGAGCTTCTGAGAAAGTGGCTGGGCTGATCTAGGGATCATATGCAGACAGGTCTGAGAAGGCAGAGAGAAGGAGGAGCAGGTGTTAGAGGAAAGTCAAGAGAAAGTGTCTGAAACCATAGAGAATATTTCTAACAGGGAGATGTGAAGAAATGGCAATTTGGGGTCCTACAGTAAGGAGCTCTGGTAGCGTAGTGGTTATGAATCGGGCTGCTAATCTCACAGTCAGCAGTTCAAAACCACCAGCTGTTCCGCAGGAGAAAGATGACGCTTTCTGCTTCCGTAAAGACTTACAGCCTCAGAAGCCCTGTGCAGGGTTGCTATGAGTCAGAACCAACTCCATGGCACATAACAACAACAACAACAGTACTGGTGGTGATTATGTGCTGTGGAGTTGGTTTTGACTCATAGCAAGCCTATATAGGGTTTCTGAGGCTGTCAATCTTTACGGAAGCAGAAAGCCTCATATTTCTCCCTTACAACAGCTGGTAGTTTCGAACTGCTGACCTTGAGGTTAACAGAATGACTCATAACCACTAAGAGCTCCTTATGGTACTGGTAGCTTTATCTTTAAATAGAGGTGGTGATTGCTCTGGGAGGCTAAGTAGAACAGGCTGTCTCATCCTCAGCATGATTTACGGTCAAACTGGATGACTCTTTATTGTGGGTCTGTCCTGTGCATTGGAGGGTGTCTAACCCCATCCCCGGCCTCAACCCACTACAGCCAGTAGCACCCGCCCTCAGTTTTGAAAACCCAAAATGTCTCCAGATGTTCTCTGGGGACACAAGGACCCTGGACAGGGCCACACAAAGGTCACGGGGAAATGCAGGCCCACCTGCCCATTGTGCATGGCCCAGTGACCTCGTTCTGACCCAGCACATACAGAGTTACTGCCAAGTGAGGTGACCCAGAAACCCAAGCCCTTTATCCTCTCCTCTTTTAGCTCTGAGCTCACTCAAACCCCGGACTCCCCTTTGTAGCTGGCTCAGCTCTGCTCCTTGATCCTGGGAGCCCTCCTCTGTCCCCTCCTCTGTCCCAGGGACTCTTCCCCTCTTCCTTCTCTTTCTCACCTCCCCCTTGTACTCATTCATTCATTCATTCCTTCAGTCAGTCAGTCAGTCAGTCAGTCAGTCAGTCAGTTACTTGTTCATTCATCAGGGTTCCCAGTGCACCTCTGACTTGGGGCAGCGTGGTACAGAGCGCTGACCCATGTCTCTTTCTCCTTGGGATCCTGACAGATTTTGCTCATTACTGTCCCTCCATCCCCCCCCTCATCCTTCCATCATCTGTCTTGCCCTCCCCTTCTCTCCCTCTTTCTTCTTACCATTCCTGTTTTCGCCATCTTTCCTCTGCTCTTCCATCTGTCTTTTCTCCCCTCCAGCTCCAAGTCTTCCTTCCTCCCCATTCCTCATGTGTGTATTGTGTTGTGTATGCTGTGTGTGTTGTATGTTGTATTGTGTGTGCTAATTGGCCATGTGTTGTATGGTATGTGTGTGCTGTATATTGTGGTTTTGTGTGTAGTATACGTGTGTTCCTTGTGTGTGTGCTGTGAGTGCTGTGTATGTGTGTGTAGTGTGTGTTGTGTTGTGTATAATGTGTGTTGCTTGTATGGTGTGTGTTTCATGTGCTGTATGTGTGTTGTGTGCTGTGTATGTGTGTAGTGTGTTGTGTGTGTTATCTGTGTGTTGTACTGTGTGTGTAATGTGTGTTGTTTGTATGGTGTATATGTGGTATGTGGTGTGTGTGTGATGGGAGTGTTGTGTGTGTGTACTGTGTGTTGTTTGAATGGTGTGTGTGTGTGCTGTGTATAGTGTGTGTGGTGTATGCGTTGATTGTGTGTGTGCTGTGGGTGTTGTGTGCTGTGGGTGTTGGTTGTATGGTGTATGAGTGGTATGTGTGTAGTTTGTGTACAATCCGTGTGTGGTATCTGGTCTCCACTTGGGGTCTTACTCTGGTATGTCTCTCTCTACCTTTCTTTGGGCCTCTTCCCCTTTCTCCTTGCCTCCCTCCCTCCCCCGTGTTCCTGGCTGCCCACCTGCCTCATCGCTGTCTAACTGGCTTGTATTTCCATTTTCTGGAGTCCCTGGGACAGAAAACCCTCAATGCTGGGGATGCACACAATCACAGTACCGTTCAGGAGCTAATAGGTCATCCTGCAAACTCATGTTTACTGGGGAGGGGGCCAGACGCAGCCTGCACACAGTCACCTGTGTAGACCCGGTGTCTCTGGATCAGAGCCTTGAGCTACTGTCATGCCCATTTGTGGGTGAGAAGCTGAGGCACTAGGTGTGCACTCACTCATGGGAATTTCCACCACTAGTAATTGGAAGTTCTAAGTTTTTAACCCAAGACACCCGGCTCTGACAGCTGTGTGTCCCCTCAGTCTCCGTGTCTTCAGCAGGTACTGAATGAAATGTTAGTGACGGGGAGGTAGACACGTGCCTTAGAACTTCCCTAAACAACTGGATCCCCAGTTGTTAAAAAGGCAAAACACCGCCTTTTTTAACCTTTTATTCTGCACCGGGGGTCCTGGTATAGTGCTGCAGGATAAGTACTAGACCGCTAAATTAAAGGCTAGCAGTTCAAACCCACCAGCAGCTCCTTGGAAACCCTATACAGGGTGGCTATGAGTCAGAACTGATTCGACAGCACACAATCACCACCAACAACAGCCAAGGAAGTTGAGGTTCAGAGAGGACGAGTTATCTAAGATCACACAGCTTGTACAGGGTAGAACAGGATTTGACTCAGGACCACTTGTCTGTAACGATCATCATCCTTCTCTCCATCCATGCTTGGTCAGAAACATACATGGAGTTCAGAAGATGTCCTCTTCTCCTTGGGAACCCAGGATGCTGGGCTGGATTGATTGTCACAGTACCTGTTTTCTGAGTTCTGGGGACCCTATCTCTTCGTGTGGTAACAGTACAGGTCTGGAGACTCATGGGGAATTTCTCCTCCCCGCAGTGGCTGCGGCAGAGGTGGAGCCATGGCACAGGAACTGCGTAGCTTTTACGAGTGCCTGGAGTCCCTGTTCCAGCAGCTGCGGCCTGGGCATCTCTACGCGGATCTCCAATGCCAACGCCCGGTGCTGGCCTGAGCAGGAGACCCGCCTCTGCAACCTGCGTCCATGCGAAGTAGATATCCGTCCGCACATCAAGGTGCGTTGACCAACCTGGCTTTGAGTCCCGGCTCCTCAGCTTCCTGACGGGGGCCATTTGTAAAATGGGAACAATTGCACCCAACTCCTGAGAACAGCGTGTGTCATGGGGTGGGGGCATTGTAAATTCCACGCAGTGGGAGCTCTCAAGGCAGAGAGAGCCTCCAAAGATTCACAAAGGAGCTAAGGGACCCAGAGCCCAGATGGTTTCCAGCAGTGCCCATCCTGTTGGTAAGCCCTGTGATAGAGGCTGAGGGTAAGAGGTTTAGGTAAAGCAGGTCCCCGGTCCTGAAGTCCCGCTGATTCTGGGTGTGGGGTGGGAGTGGGGGGAGACAGGGTTGACTGAAGGCACTCCAGTGACCCCGATGGATGGCTTGGCATCGACATGGCAGCAAAGCAGAAGAGAACGAACCCTCCAGACTGTGAGATACGACCAAGCTGTAACAATTCCTCAGTTTGCCCCTCAATACTATGGACAGGTCTCCCTGTGCTAATGAAGATCCTTCCTTGCTTAAACATGCCAGGAATCCAAAAGTCCAGAAGGGTGTTCCCACATGGTTCAGGCAAGAGGAAGAATTGGGGGATTGGAGGGGAGAAGGGAGTGACTCACAATGAGGGTCCTGGAGCATCTTAACTGAAAGCCCCTTACCTCTCCTGCAGGTAGGGAAGAAGTGTCTGGCTGTATACCAGCCAGAGGCGCCCATGAACTTCACCCTTGGAGGCTGCATCAGTACACGCTCCTACAGGCCCAAGTACTGCGGGGTCTGCACAGATAACAGGTGCTGTATCCCCTACAAATCCAAGACCATCGACGTCTCCTTCCAGTGTTCTGATGGGCCTGGCTTCTCCCGCCAGGTCCTATGGATCAACGCTTGCTTCTGCAACTTGAGCTGCAGGAACCCCAATGATATCTTTGAGGACTTGGAAGCCTACCCCGACTTCTCAGAAATCGCCAATTAAGCAGGTTTACAACCAGGGGCTCAGGGTCTGGCTCAGAGCTTGCAAAGCAGCCAGACTGTAGTGGCCAAAACCTTTTTTCACAACTGCACCTTCTTTTATCCACTTCCCACTGACCTCTAATGACTTTGATCCTAATCCTTTGATCCTTTTTCCATCTCCAATCACCCAAATGGCCCGTGATGGTGCTCCTCAGGCCCAGACTCTGGGTCTCTCCTTGGCAGCCTTCCATGACTGCTCTCAAGAAAATGTCTCACAGACTTAGGGCAACCCCTGGGTCTGCTCCATTGACCGAAGCTACTGGAAGTCCTGCTGATCTTGCGCGAGTGCCAGTCAGAAGAAGCAGCTAGACATCCACTATCATGAATTTCCTCTTTAGATGTCAAACCATAACCTCTTTGGGTTCACTCAGAAGGACCAATGGGATGGTCTACTATTTGGGTCCATTATTTGGGTCCTGCTGATTGATAACCCAATAGGCTGTTCTGACCACAACACACCAAAAGTATCAGTGATGCCAAAGATTTATGCACCCCAAGGTCACCAAACATTTCTCGAGACAGGTGAATGTGTTTGCTTTGTTTCTCAGTGGAACGTTGTGTCCATTAACCCAGGGATTGTTGAGGGTTGTGAAGGGTAGAAACTGGGTTCATCCCAGTCAGAAGGGAGACTTGATAAAGTCTGTCCTTGATTATGGGAACAGCCCCCAGTTGGTATTCCTGGAGGAGCCAGGGACCTCAGTTCAAGTCCACTGCTAACTGATGGACATCCATCCATAGGACAGGCTCTTCTGGTATCCAGGCCCTCTCCCTACTGGACAGCTCCTGGGAGTTGTTGGAAGCCTTAGATAGCTTTGTTGCACCCTGGGGACATTTCTTTACTCTAACAGAGATGTGGGGGCACCCAGCTGATGTCTAAGCCAGACCCACCTGAAATGATGGAGATGGGTCCAGGTTAGGGCGGACCCAACAAGAAGTCTCTCCATGTCTCATGGCCTGGAGTGAGATCAGGAGCTGCAGGAGCACAAATGTCCCTGCGCCCATATCATGGCCTTTGGGTCTAATGACCAGAACAACCCAATGTCCTGTCCTGGTGTAACGATGGGTTGGCTTAAAACCAGAAATATATTTAACAAGGATTTGAAGCTAAAAACAAAACCAAAACCCAACCAAACCCACTGAGTGGTTTCCAAATCATTGGGACCGTAGAGGACAAGGTAGAATTGCTCTCTAAGGTTAATGAGACCACAGATCTTTATGGGAACAGATGGCTTCATCATTCTCTCACACAGCAGCTGGTAGGTTTGAACTGCTGATTTTTTGGTGGCAGCCAAGTGCTTTAACCACTGTGCCTCCAGGGGTCTACAGAAATGGAGATTAAGCTAGTATTTATTTTATTAGTAAAATCTAAATATTCGCTGTTATAATTATTTTATTAAGCATATTCTCTGTGCCAGACATTGTTCTCCTAGCTCTTTATTCCTTGAATCTCAGTGAATTTTTCCATAAGTACTGGACCACAAGGTCAGTTTGAACTACAAGTTTGGTGGTTCAATTCTACCAGTTGCCTCTCAGAAACTTTATACAGAGTCAAAATTGATTTGATGGCACTTAACAGGGAGCTCTGGTAGCATAGTGGTTACGAATCGGGCTGCTAACCTCAAGGTCGGCAGTTCAAAACTACCAGCTATTCCGTGGGAGAAAGATGAGACTTTCTGTTCCTGTAAAGATTTACAGCCTCAGAAACCCTGTGCAGGGTCACTATGAGTTGGAATCAACTCCACGGTACTTAACAACAACAACAACATTTCTACTCTTATAATGTGAGTCAGAAGCTCAGAGAGGTAAAGACACTCTACAGAATCACCCAGCTGGCAAGTAGGAAGTCAGGACTGAAATTCAAGTGAAGCTGACTTCCAAGCCCAGGTTTTCCCCTTATACTTTTAGAGCTTCCAGGCATGTCAGAGCAGAACATACTGGAATACGTGACGTCTCACACTCACGGTTCACTCTTATTACCATCTCTCTAGTTCCTTTCACCAATAGAAGAGAGTGTGACTTCCACATAAGTAGATGATTGAGCATCCAAAAAAATATGGGATAGATAGAGATCCACATGCCCAACAATCCATCTCTGACTTCAAACTGGAACCAGCTTCCTCTGTGAATTTATAGGACTTTGTTTACCCATGGCTGATGATGGAGTGAGGTGCAGCTATTTTTGAGGGAATTATCTTCAGTGAGCAGAGGAATTCATAAACAGGAAAGGACTGGAAACATGTCCCCTTTACTGGACCCTCCCAAAAGTCCAATCCAGTACAACGCATACAGCAGTGCTCAGTGTGTTGTGATAATCAAGTGAAATTGGTAGGTGTTCCTAGCTTTATTCATAAGCTCTCTTCCTCCAATGTTTAATTTTTATCATCTAAATTTTATTTTAAGTGCCATAGAAAAAGACTATTTAAAGAGATGCATATTTAAACACACACACACACACACACACACACACACACACACACAAGGGATTCCTGAGTAGAGAACTTAGTCCATGAATGATTCCTTCTGGAATTCTGTGTGGGTCTTGGAGTTCCTTAGTCTGAAAACACCCACCATCTACAAATTAAGAAGACTTGATGTTAACTGGAGTCCTGATGTGGTGCTGTAAGTTAAGTCCCTTGAGGTAGATGGTTCGAACTCACCAGCCTCTCCTCTGAAATCCTGAATCAGAACTGACTTGAAGGTGCTAACAACAACAGAATTTAGCTAGGCTGATTTGAAATTCAGTAAAAAGCCAAGAGCTAGATCTTCCTCAATGTGCATTTCCATTTGGGAGGCTGAGAATAGGTTCCAAGATTACAGGCGAAAGGAGTTTCACCTGGGATTTGGTGGAAGGGCTGGGTGGGTATGATCCAATTGCTGGTGATTTTGAGAAATGAGTTTCTTCTAATCAAGACCAGAGGGAAAGACTCAGATTCTTGAAGTTAAGAAGGAGGTTTGGGCCCCGTGTGATGAAGGTCTTTCTAGCATGGTCCTGCCATGGTTATGATCTGCATTTGTGAAAATTAAGAATAAAAACTGTATCAGGAAAAACAAAAACACCCATGTATCAAATGGATTCTCACAGCAATTTTGAATAAGCATCTCTTTCCCCATCCAATCAACAGACACTCTGAGGTGTAGAAAGGCTGAGAATTCAACCACAAATCCCAGCTCACTCTACTCCTCTTGGTGCACCTCCTTTTGGGGACCTCCCTGCATTGACCAGGGTGCAAGCAGATCACCTGTGCATTTCCTTCTAGCTCCATGCTCTGAGGTGGCAGAAGGAACAGTGATAAGTGAACTGTTGGTGAAGAAGTTCACTTGGGTCCTTAGAGCAAATGCTGAGTGTTAGGGAAGAGGGAACGCCCAAATTCACCAACCCACTCAGTCTTGTTAAACCTTATTATAGGCATTTGGTGAGAATTTACCACGTGTCAGGTCCTGTGCTAAGGACTTTTCTGCCATCTCTTTCTTATTGAACCCTCAGAACAAGTTGATGAGATGCAATATCGTCTTTGCTCCCATTTTAGAGGTAAAATAACTAAGTAAGGCTTGTAGAATAAGTAAGGTACAAGAGTGAAGTAATTTAAGGGAAGATCGGGCCTGTGAACCCAGGTCTGTATCATACTTGAATCATCTCTTGTGACGCTAAACTTAGTAGTTCTCTTGTTCCCACATCAAAAGCTTCAATCTTTACAAGAAGTGTAGCAATAGCTACAATCTTACCTGAAGGGATCCTGGAAGTGATCCAATGCTATGACAGTCTTTGATCTCATTAACATTGTACTCTGTACACATGTGGATTATGGGGGGAGTAGTCCTTTGCTTTTGTGTCGGATGACATTACTGCTTCTTTGTGAAAGACCCATCTTGATGAAAAGGAACTTCAGTGACTCCCCGACATAGCTGGGAGTCATGAATATCAAGATGGTTAACTGTTTTTCTGCACACGTATGTGTATCTGTTTTCAAACTGTGACGTCATATTTAAACATCCTTACTGTCATTTTTGTAAGCGACTTTTAAATATATATATACAAAGAAATGTCTTGGAATTTCCCAATAGGGAAAAACTAGCACTCGAGCAATCTATCATGTTTTACAACATTCCTCATATTTCTCATGATTTGTGTTGTGTGGAACGTGTTTGTGCAATGTGAAGGATTTTCATTGGCCACATTTTCCTTTTCAATAGCTTTTCTCATTAAAGCAATAAATCATCTGCAAAGTGACATACTAGATTTGGTGAGTTTTCTTGTAGATCCATTTGTTATGAGGTAACGATGGCACATTAAGCAAGTTCAATATATGTGCAGATGGTGAGAATTAGACCTCAGGTATTTTATATGTGGAGAGCACAGCAGCTTAGACTTGTGCTGAGAAAAACCTAAACTGAAACTCAAGAACGACCAGGGCTGCTGGTGGCGTATCTATGATGGAAGGCACTTCATAGAAATATAAATGGAATTTTAGCACTCACTCATTCACTCGCTCGCTCATTTATTCAATGCTTTTGATCTTGAGATCAAGGACCATTACTGCATCTGGAGAGTCTATCACAGTGTCTGCCACATGGCGGGGCTGGGCAGTAGTGGTTGGTTACTTGGGTGGTTGGATGGAGGGATGGATGGTTGGATGCATGATTGATTGGATGGATAGGTGGGTGAGTGGATAGGTGGATGGCTGAAGGGATGGATAGATGGTTGGTTGGGTGGATAAATATATGGATGGATGTTCGGATGGTTGGTTGGATGGATGGATGGTTGGTTGGTTGGATGGATGGATGGATGGGTGGATAGGTGGGAGAATGGATGGATGAATGGAGTATCTACTTAAGGAATGAAAAGAATTAGAAGAGAGGCTGCATAACACAACAGATACAGTCTTGACTTGAGTGGTCAAATAGATCTTGGTCTTCACACCTTTTAATCCATCTGAGTCATTTAATCCTTCAGAGCCTCTGTTC